GGTGACTTTGAAGATAAACGGGGCACAAATGCGATCTTTATAATGCTAATAAGACTTGTGATGTGTAGTGGAGCAGGTTGTTAAAAAGAATTGGGGAAGAGGCACCAATTCAAGCTGCTGCCTTACTGAGACTTTCAGCCTCACTGGTCAAACTGGGTTCCATCACTGAAGGATGCTCGGGGTTTAGTGGGCATCAGTTGGTTCCTCCAAAGGCAGCATGTCTCTGGTCTCTTGATGATCTGTGCATTCTGTAGGAAATCACCCTTTCAGAAGCCGTGTTCAAATCAATTATAATAGTTAATCTCCTTGCAGTTTAATGTGTGGCTTCTCCCAAAGGAGACTCACGAATAAGTATAAAATGACTTATGTGAACTCTGGAGAGCTAAAGAGATTGCGGGAGGAAATCTTCAAAAATGAGGCCATCCCCTTGAGGGGAAAAAAATACTGTGTCTTCCTGGAGAATGAATCTATAAGCAGAAGAATTCATAGAAAAGACAAATGGAAACTCCATGTAAAGTTTAAGCAAAGGTCAAATACAGCAAACTCTCCTTTAGAGCAGAGTGGAGCTCCTGGGCTGAATGAGAAGTGGCAACAGCAGGTATCCAGCAGTGTCTAATGCAATCCCTTCTTGTCCAAGGAGAAGCTGATTAGCTACTTTTTTTGTCTTTTTTTTTTTTTCTTCTAAATCATCTAAAAAATTACTTTTGAAATGTTCTTACTCTTAAAAGCAAAGCCCAGATTGGCACTGAGGATCCCGGTGCGCTGCTTTCCAATCCTTTCACCCCTGGATTTCCTTGCTGATGTGCAAGATAAGATGTTTTTGCCCCATGTGGCCACGCTGCTGGTGCCTTGGCAGCAGAGCAGGTTCATCAGGAACCTCAGTGGTGTCGGGGATGCCATCCTGCCATAGCCAGGCTGGAGGTGCCCTCCACCAGCTGCACGGGGCTGTGATGCTTTGCACAGAACCTGCTACTGTGGTCATTGTTTCTTTGATGATTAACCCCAGTCATCCCAGTCTCCGTGGGCTGGCAGGTACCCTCGTGGATCAGCGCTGTGCTGATCACCCATGCATCAGCTCAGCTGGTGGTGAATCTGATCCCTGCAGTCCTCAGGCACCTCTTATACCTTAAATTAATGGGGCAGCCTTAAAGTGGGCTGATAGTGCTACTCCATTAGCCTTGTCCCTGTGCTCCTCTCAAATTGATTCCTCTAAGCTGAGCCATCACAGGCGTGCAGCCCAGTGGGTTTGGAGCCAGCTCTTCCCCTGGGCCCCTGCCCAGCCCGGCCCTGGCACCTCCTGTGGCTGCAGCAGAGCAGTGGAGCAGGGGGTTGTGGACTCCTCAGAAGGCAAAGTGTTCCCCTCGTGGCCTGGGTCACACTGCTTATGGAGGAGGCTAATTAAATTGGGTAATTAGTGAGTTTTAATGAGCTGGGGCAGGGTAATTTTGCTTGGGCTGTTAAAGTGTTGGTGGCTTTGGGGGTTTGTAAAAGCTCAGGGCTTTGGGAAGGTTTTTCTTGCCTGGTGTCCCCTTGCAGCAGTTTTTCAGTGGCCTGGCAGATAAAGTCCAACTCCTGTTGTCTAAAAAGCACTCTGGCATTTGATTTACTTAGTCATTTTTTTGTGGCTTAATGTGTCAAACTTCAGCCTATTCTGAATTAAGGTACAGCTCTTGCACTGAGTGTACTTTAGATAAGGGCTGGTGTATATTTATGATCCCCCTGGTAGCATGGGGAGCCCAAGGAGAAGAGCCAGTGGTTCTGTTCTGTCAATTTGCTTTGAATTTCACATTTATATCTGTGTGTTGGAAGGAAACCACTTGTTAAACACTGTTTCTTGATACAAGTTTGGCAACTGGATTAGAGATGCTCCCTCCTTTTGCTCTCCCTCTTGCAGACACACCACACTGTCCTTGCTCCTGCCAGAGCAAGCAATACCTGGAGAGCTGAATCATCACTCTTGTTTCTTCTCAAGGTCTGAGCTTGTATCTAACCCTTCTCTGACTGCCCTATAGTGGCATTTTTCTTTTCTTTTTGGAGCCTGCTTTAAAATGGCAGTGGTTAGGAAGAGACTGGGAAGCTGTGCTCATGTGTTCCTGAGCCTGCAGTGTGGACTCAAAAAGAGGGAAAGATTGAAACAGGATTTCTGAGCTGTTGTCCTAGGACTGCTTGTGGCCCAACAGCCTTTGGCAGATGGTTTGTGAAATCCTTCCCTCCCCCAAAAAGCATACACCATGCCGCCCCTGCAAATGAGCAGGCAATCTGTTACTTCTACTTTCGCTCACTTTATTTTAAAGTTCAAATCTCAGCCGGGTTTTTGTTTGACTAAAGGGTGACAACTATTTCACTGTGACTTCACAAGATGGGCTATAGGGTTGGGGTTTTTTCCTGAAAAGGTTAATTAGTGCTTGAATAAATAAATAAGTAAAAACTTGGAGGAAAGTTGGAGCAGTGCATCCTTCTATCTGCAAAGATTTCATCTGCTGTCCCGTGTCAGAGCTAACACAATCCTGTTCATGGTTTCATCCCACAGGAGGGATAGCTGGACTTGGTGATCAATGATTTGACTTGATCAGCCATTGAACTCCATGATTGTAGAGGTCTTTCCAGCCTTATTCAATGAATTTTGGAGCCTTGGTACCCAGATGCCGTGTGGGGCTGTGAGGATGCAGCTGAGCTGCAGCTCCTGAGCAGGACTTGGGAGCAGAGGGGCTGAGCTGCCTCCAGTGCTGGGTGGGGGATGAAGCATCCCCACTTTGCTGGGTCCCTTTGCTGTTTGAAGCAGCTCTGGGGTGCTGCCATTGTTCACGCTGTCACTCCGACCCTCCCCTCCCATTCAGTGCCTCTCTGCATCCTTGGGGAAAAGCCTTGATCCTGGACTTGCTCTTCTCTCAGGGTTTGGTAGGTTTTGCCAGCTGAAAACTGGGCTTTGGAAAGGGACTGGGGGAGTTTTCACAGAGTTGGAGAGAATCAAAGGGAGTCATCACAAACGGCAACTTGAAGTGTCTGACCTTTTCCCACTTCTCCACTTTATGTGAGCATTCAGAGGTGCAGTGATGCTGCTTTGTGGCACTGCTTCCTCTGTACCCACTGTCCTGGAGCTTTTGTTTATCTTGTGTTTCCCTGGAGGAGGTTTCATGGCAGGTCTCTCTCTGACTTGGGCAGAGGAAAAGCCCACAGAGACCCATGAGCATCCTGACACTGTCCTGCTGTCCTGTCCTTTGCAGGGACAGTGGCACCAGCCTGTATAGAGAGGGCATGGGACATGAGGCCCATTCCACAGTGAGGGGGTCTCAGATCCTAAATCCTTCTCCAGGTCTCCTGTTGTCCTGTGATTTCCTCCTATTCCTGTCTGCTTGCATCAGGGGACTACCCGTAAGCATATGAAAGGGATGAGTGCTTAACAGAAAGCCCAAAAGGCTTTTTGTTACCCAAAAGAAATAACCCAAAATGTGATCCATTTTCTGAATCCCTCCCTCCCTCTGTTTTTGAAGCCTGCCAGGTGATTTAGGAAGGGCAGTAGGGCTGATACATTCTTCTGCAAAACTTGGTTTTGGCAAGGCAGAGAGGCGGCACAGCCAAGGGAGGACAGAAGATGAAAAACCAGGTAAGATACTGCAGAAACTGCTCCTCTGGCAGCTGCAGGAGGAACTGCTTTGGCAGAGGAAACTGCAGGTGCAGGAGGACTGGTGGCAGCATCTCTTCCCACCGTGATGTGAACAGAAGCTGCAGTGCCCAGCTCCCAGAAGGTTTCTGTTTTACTCTTTGTTACACGGCAGCCTGAGCAAACAAACTGTGCTGCTCTTGATAATGAAAGATGTGACATTACTAATTTATTTGCCCACCCAAATGTAGGATGTAATAGAACAGAATTAATCTCTTCTCTTTACACATCAGATGCTTGTAGCTTTGGGTGGCAGGTGTGCTTTTAACCTCTGGTGTGCAGCTCACTGGGATTGCCTTGAGTCGACGTGGTGTGGAGATAAATGAGGTGCTGCAGGAACAGGCATTTCATGGGTGTGTGGTTGGTCCCAAGCCTGAATGTGGGTGGTGGGATGAGGCTCAGAGGAAGTGAGGGTGCTGTTAGCTGTGGTGCCTTTGTGGTCCCCACAATCAGCCAAGCTCCTTTCACAGCCAGCGTGGGTGAGTCCTGCAAGAGCAGCACAGGGTGCATCTAAAGGAGACTGACAGTGCCAGTGGTGCCACAGGGGGACAGATGTGCCCTGGTAGTGTCCCAGAGAAGGAAATGGTGGCAAACCCACCCACAGCAGGGACTGCAGCAGTTGCCACTGCTGGGTCAGTCTTGGGACAGTGGCCTCGCAAGAGAGTTTGAATGAGGCGCTTTGGATTCCTTCCCTCACTGCTGCAGGCAGTTCCCAAATAATCTCTATGCTAATGAGCTAATTTGTGCCATTAGCAGAGCCCTGTTAATCAGGGCCTCCCACAACACGACTGGGCTGTGGCCCCAGTGCTTGCTGTATTTTAGGCCCTGGGTTTTTTAATTAGTAGTGATGTGTATGATGCTCATCCCTGGGCATCTGCAGTGCAGTCTGTGCAGATGCCCAGCTACCTCAAGATACAGAACCAGGGTCTGAGGATTTTCCTTCAGAGGTGAGGTGTTTCCTGATAGTCTGACTAGAGGGCTAGAGTTCAGAGCCTTGAGATGGTGTGGTCAGGAAGGAAGGAGCAGGGAACATGTCAAGCACTCTCCTGCCAGACTAAGTTTAACTTGACACAGGAAGATTTGCCTGTCACACCTGCAGCTCAGGTGATAGCCACAGGGGCTCTTCAATGGCATTTTGCCTGAATCTTCCTGCATTCCATCCCCTTTTATACCAGGTTGTAACCTTAGGACAGAATTCTGCTTTCAGGTGCTTGCTGAGCTATGAGCAAGATGAGATGACAGGAGGATAGCAGCTCATGTGCAGGTGCCAATGTGCATCTCAGCTGTTTCCCTGCAGTCCAACACTTCCTCCTCACACTGCTGTGTTTGTGTTTTCCAGATCAGCCGGTTGTGTGGCCACGCTCAGCAGAGGCAGATCCGATCAGCTAATTATCCAGAAGACCTTTTCATTGACAAGAAAGTCCTGAAAGTGACTCACGTTGAGCAAGAAGAAACTTTGTCGAGCAGGAGGAGGTGAGAATGCTCAGGCTGAGTGAGGGGGAGCCTGCTGGATGGGCTGCAGGAGCAGCCACCATATGGAATGGCCCTGTGGAAGCAGATGGAAAAGCTCCTTATTTCCCTTACCCATAAATCTGGCTCTGAGCATCAGAGCTGCTCTCAAGTGCAATGAGGCGTCCACGTGGGTTTTCTCACCTAGTGCACCCAGGGTAATACACCAAATGCCTTGTCTGGGTTTCTTGGGCACTGCTGTAGTGTCTGAAATACTCACAGGTGTAGTTATAGATAGAAATGGTCACTCCAGATTGAATTGCTATGTAGTACACCGTGTGTAGGTAAGGGGAATATGTTTCATGCTTTTTGTGTAGTGTTTTAAGGTAGTTCAGAGATGTTAACAGCCTTTTACTGAATATTTTCAAAGGAAGCAGATGCCTCCACTGCTGGCACTGTGCTTCCTTCCCCATGTAAGTAGAAGCTGTAATTAAGTGGGCTCACACTGTTGTGTCAGGGAGCAGCATCTCCCCTCTGGATCTGAAAACACACCCAGGGATATGCAGTGCCTTTACTTCTGTCTTGAATAAAAGAAAAATCCCTGTGGAAGTGAAACAAGCAAGCTGGGCAATTTTTGAAACTGGCAATAGACTAAGTTGGGTGGATTTCTCTCTGAAGACTAACAGGGCCACATTCTTGATCCTGTTCCCATGAGATACAGCACCAGGGCTTGCATTCCTCCCTTGTCTCAACACGTCGGAGGTTACACAGCCCAGGCTCTGACAGAGATGTCCTTTGAAGACTCTGAAGGCTCATGAAATCTGCTGAGATGAATTACATGGGTTCATACCTGCAGATATCAGGAGTTCCTCCCTGCCCTGCAGGGAGCTCTGCTCCCCAGGAATGATTCCTTCTGCCTGCTCTGCTGGGCTTTGTGGAAGAGGAGCACGGCAGAGCCTGGGATGTGAGGAGCTGAGTGCCACGGGCAGTGAGGCTTCTGTTTGGGGCTTGCCATAACTGATGATCCAGGTCTCACCTCATTTGGGCTTTACAGGTGTTGGCTGGACCCTGCCCCACTGTTAGAGCAGGAGAAGGATGCAGGAGGCGACTGCCTGAAGCATCCCTTGGGTTTGTGCAGGGGCTGTAGGCTGAATTCCCACCCTTGGGAGGGGCTCTGGCTCATCAGGCAGACCTGTTCATTTGCATGGACGGTGACAGGGTGGGTGCATAGGATGTGCTGGGTGGTCAGAGGCAGGGACCCTTCCAGGGACCCTGTGCCAGCCCCACCGACAGCCAGCACAGAGCACAGCCTTCCTGGTGCCTCCTTCTGCTGGTGTCGCCTGCCCCCAGCTGGCTGTCACGGGCTCTGGCTGGAGAGGGAACCCGCGGGATCCCAGAGCAAGGAGAATGGAGGGAGCTGGACACCCCCTGCACACCGAACTGCCTGACAGCGCAGGGCACGGGTAACCCTGGCAGCAGGGTTTATCCTGCAGGGTAAACCTGGCAGGGCATGGATAACCCTGTGCAGCACCCCGGGGATGCCCCGAGAGTGCTGCCTGCTCCAGGGGCTAATTCCTCATCATTCCTTCCACGGAGGAAGGAGGCTGAGCAGTACCCCCTTGCCAAAGGGGGAAATGTGCTGAAACCAAACAAGACAGCTGTGAGGCCAAGTCTTACTGCCTCCAGTTCCTGATATTCATGTTATCTTACTTTTGGTGCTATTTACCTAATTAAATCTGCTACTGTTCCCTGGTGACAGCTGTGGAGTGTTCCTGTGGGATCAGAGCTAGGCTGGGGGGATGTCACATCCCACTCCAGAGCCTCTGTGACTTCTCTGGAAACATCAGAAATCCCATGGTCAGCCTGGGATGTGACAGCCTGATTCACATCCCCTCTGTGTGGTGCAAGCATTGCTTCTGCAGCTCCTCCTGCCTACCATTTTGATGATGTAACCTGCCCCTTTGAATGCAGACTGTGACCCCCTTGGCCAGCCCAGTGCATCCCTTGAAACCGTGTCCTTTTGATGGTGCAGCATGAAGCACAGCCTTAGCCATGTGTACAGGTCTGTGCTGAGGGTGTCAGCTCTGGTCCACCACCAGAAATACCCCCTGCCCTTGCAGCAACACTGCATTGCCAGTGTCCGCCAGAAGAAGCCCCTGAAGGGCCTCTGTTGCCTTCTGCAAAGCAGAGTGGACACTGAAGCCTGAGCCCTTGCTGCTCAGATGTACCCCATGGATGTGTATCTTGAGCCAGTGGCACCTTTCCTTAGGTGCTGTGAGAGTGCAGAAACTGTGTCTGACTTTTTCCTGGTGCAGAGTTGGGCTGAGATTCTGCTGCCCCACCACATCCCTCCCCATCACCACCAGTTTTGACCTGGGAAACATGCATTCAGCCTTTGGATGAATAATATCAAGGAAAACCAGAAAAAGCTGCTTTGGTTTGGAAATAAAACTGATGCTTTGTGGTTTGTTTGCACCTAGCTGCTTCAATGTTGTGTTTGTGTGACTACCTTCACTGGTTAAAATGCACCAACCCTGTCTTCTCTTCTTCTTTTAACTGAGCACCCTTTTCTTTCCCTTTCTTCCAGGGAACTGATTGCAAAGCTGAAGTCCCACAGCAGTTTTTACAGCAGCTTGCCAGAGTACATCTGCAACCACAGCTCTGCTGTTCAGAATGACACCCTTTGCTGGAATGGACAAGAAGTCGTGGAGAGGTGAATCACATCTCCCTTGCCCTCCTTCTCCTCCATCCTGCTCCTCTTTTGTTGACCAGGCACAGGAGCAGTCTGAGCAGGGCATGACTTGCTCCCTCAGGGTTGTTGTGCAGAGCAGAGTGCAGCTGCAGCTCAGAGGGATGTGTGAGGTCTGCACAGATACAAGTGGTTGTGTGCTGCCCTCCACTGAGTCCTCTGTGTAGTGAAAACTCTGCATCCACGATGGGATTTGGTCAGGGTGGGCCGGGGCAGGAGAGCAGCAGCAGCTGGACACTGCTCCCATGGGAGAGCCCTTGGTCCAGCTCATCCTGTGGCTACTTTGCCCAGCCCCACTCACCATTTCACTCCTCAATTTTGGTGGAAATTGAGGTTAACAGAGGCAGGCATGTGCAGGTGTCATACCATAAAGGGGAAGGAAGTGTTAATAGAAATGAAGATTTTTCTTGCAAAAAATGCCCCTTGGGAACGTTAAATAATGTGGAAATAGAACTTGGAAATATTTTTTATAATTATACATAAATCTCCTCTAATCACCCTACTTTGCAAAGCATCTTTTGCTATTAAGTAGTTTGCATAAGGGAAGAAATAGAAGTAAGATCAGGAAGTGGTGAAATGTTGAGATATTAATTATGACTTCTTGATCAGTAACTTCAGGTGGTAATTAGCCTGTACTTGCAATACTGACCTGAAACACTGAATAGACCAAAATAGCATCAAACTCTATTTAGAAAAAAAATGACTCAACATCTGAGATCACATGCTTAGTAAAATGTACTTCGGTTGCCTAAGGAAAAATGTGTCCTCTGTTGGTACTTATTTCTGGAAAATCTTGGGTTTCCATGCCTGAGACAATAAATTGGAAAGAAAAAGATTATTTCAATATTATCTCACTGATTGTTAATTAAAACTTCTAAAGCAGGGCTACAAACACTGCAGCTCTGGGGAGGGGAGCTGGGGTGAGGTCTTGGCTTACAACAATTCCCTGGGGTCACAGCCAGTGGCCTTGGTCTGGCTGATGTCACAGCTGGGTGAAGTGGTGGCAATGGGAGGGTGTTGAGTCCAGATCCTCCTGCAGATGCAAATGCAGAGCTGTCTGCAGATCCAGCATGACATCAGGTGATGGATGGCCTGAGAATACAAGGGGACCATCGTGGGCACAGTGTGGCACGTCACAAGGTGCCATGGCATGCAGGGGGGCAAGGCAGGGAGAGGGTACAGTCTGTGTGCTTGAAGGGGGCACCAAGATTTCAGCCCCTGGCTGCTGAGTTAAGGAATAAATCTTCTACTGTGCTTGAAGAGCCTGTGCCTTTCCACTCCTCTCCTTGCCCCCTCTGATCTGTTGCACAGATATCACCACCTCTGCCAGCTCCTGTGAAATATTAGAAACAGTTCCCTTACAGATATTAGAGATTTTTGTTGTGAGCAGGGAGACTTCAGCTAAATAAAGCTGAGCTAAGATAATGGTCAAGGGTGCTCTTCTCCCAGGACCCACTTGCAGAATGTTTCAAATAGAAGGAAAGATGTAGTAAAAATGTAGTTAAAATGATCTCTACACTGGCTGCTTCATGTGCTTTGACTTCCCCACTTGGCATCTCTTTCAGAGTGTCTGGGAGGATTCCTGAAAATCAGGAGCATGTAAGGTAACAGTGCTCGAGTACCCCAAGCTGCCAGTTCCTTTATTTCAGTGTTTTCCCCAAGAGGGAGCCAAGCATCTGTTCATGGTGTAGCAGCTCTTACTCGAGCTATTCTGAGAATGTGTGTTATGTACTGGAGAAATTCTGTTCTCCTGCTGGACTGGTGTGTGTCTGTTGGTGATCAGACTCCATCTTGCCACTTTTTGCAAGAAATTTGGTGTGGTTTGAATACTTGGTATTAATTTCAGGCTGCTGTCCTGGTGCTTGTTCCACATATGTGGTGGCTGCCAGGAAGAAGGATGGAGGAGACATGGTGGGATGGTTCCTGTGGCTGGAGTGTTGCATGGAAGGGCACAAAGGACAAGCAGGGGAGGCAGGGATGGGGTGTCTGTGTCAGTGACCAGCTGGAGTGCTGGAGTTCCACCTGGGGATGGATGAGGAGCTGACCAAGGGCTTTGGGGTCAGGATTAAAGGGAGGGCAGGGACAGGTGGTGTTACAGTCTAGCTCTGCTTCAGGCCACCCGACCTGGCAGAGTGTGTGGATGAGACCAGGGGACAGAACCTTTACAGACAGACAGGAGCAGCCTCATGTTCACCAGCTCTGGCCCTCCTGAGGGACTTCAACCCTGGTCTCTGTTGGAGGGACAGCACAGCAGGACATAGGCAATCCCTGGGCTCCTGGATAAACTAGAAAGCTCCTGCTGAATCTGCTGGTCAGATGGAGACCAGGACAGAGTGGTGGATTCTATGCTTCCATGTGTTTCCATGTCTGGTGCTGTGTGGGCAGTGAATAAAGCTGTTTGACCATTGTTGGGTCTGTAAGGTCAGTGTGAGCTTGTCCAGGATTTGATTGTGTTTTTGTAGGGATTGTGGCTATTTACCTCTTGCATTTCTAATGTAGCAGCTGAGTGTTCATTAAGTTAGAACAGAGCCCTACTGATTTATCCATTTCCAGACCTCCCTGTCATGACAAAAATTTATTAGTTATTCTAAGTCCTTTTCCTATAACACGTTAAATCAAGCCTGGAATAGCAACTTCACAGCCCTTGCCAGTGCTGTCAAGGACTTGATAATACCAGCAATGTGTGTCCTGTTGTTTGGTGCAAACAGTCCCTTCTGCACCCTGCAGTCCTCCTCCTGTGGTTGTTCTGGTTTGATATTTACTCTGCCCTGTTTACCCCAGTGCTTTGTTACCCACAGGCAATGAGAGTTTCTCTCCTCCCCATGGACTGGATGTGCTCAGTGTCTTTCCACTGGGTCTCACTTCCCAATTTGAGCCTTGGACCATCCTCTGTTTCGTCCTTGCTCTTAAGCCCCTCTCAGTTTGGGGCTGCAGTGCAAAGCAGCAGGCTGGAGTATTTTATCCTGCTCCCAATACCTTGTGTTTTTTTAAACTGAATCTTACTTTGTGATCCTTTGTGATCATTTGCTTCTCCATGTTGGACCATCTAATGGCAAGAATTCATCCTGCTTCCCAAGGTTTGATCTGTGGGTCTGTTTGATTGCCATCCCTATTGTGGATTTAGGGACATGGTGCCTCAAAATGACTGCTTGCAAACAGTGGTAACCACACAGGAAAGGTGGATTTTTCTGTAATGCAGAGCAGTGCCTTGTGTCTTTTGCTGTGCTTTTGCATGGTTGAAGAACATAAGCCAAAGTGGGAAGAAAAAAATAAAAGGCAACACATTCCTGCTTTTCACACTTTTCAGAGTGTGTAAAAGCACACTGTGCTTTTATGGGACGCCACAAAGGTTCATAGCAAAATCCCACACTGCCTAAGTGAGGGTTTCTGGGATGCCTTTCCTTTGCTCTGTCTTCATGGCCCATCCTCTCACCAGACCTCCTGCTGGTGGTGTTAGGTGGTGAAATGTTGTCCTGCCTCTCTTATCCTTATCTCCATCCCAAGCAGGAAAAAACAGAGGTGGATTCTTATCACCAAGTCCTAACTGAGTAATTAGCTCATTTAAAGCCTTCAGCTTAAGTCAAATAGGTGTTGAGATATCAAACTCACCTCAGTTTCTATGGGAGCTCAGTGCTGGAATCTGAAAGGTGATTCAAACTTTATATATAGTGTCAGGGTTTTGCAGCATTTAATTCTAAAAGCCTATTAAATGTAGATTCTCAGAGTTTAGTAATCTGCTTACATGAGTATATTCTTTTGAAGCTGTTCTGAATAGATTGACAGCAACATCTGCCCACTGCAAAACTTGTAAGCACATTAAGGCTTACTGTTAGATTCTGCCATTTCCAAATTTCTCGAGACAAACGTGTTCATTAATCCAAATCACCAGCATAACTCTTGTTTTCTTTGTACCAATTCAAAATTAATATATTTTTAGCACCTTGCCAGATTCTCTTCTTCAAGCTAGAAGTCTCATGTTTCCCTGCTGTTGCCAACGTACTGTGGTTTGTTTTAATCATACAAATCATAAACAATGAAAGCACAATTGGAAGCAAGACAGAAAAATGAGATTCTGTAATTGGAACAAAGGAAATTCCATGCCAGCAATAACCCTTTAGTTCATGAAGGGTTTGGTTATTTCTGGCAGTGCTGCAAAATATCTGATCCAATGGAATCCCCAAAGAGGGGGCTGTATAACTTTTCAAGCCCATAAAACACAGCTTTGTAGCAAGTATGAGCTATAATGAAAGGATAGTAGGCAAATTCAGTGGGTTATTGAGTGGCCATGATAATTTCCAGAGTATTTCAGAAAAGAAGATAATGAATCTTCTTCTATCCTGCTGCCTGGTCTCAGGTTTAGCAATTTTTCCATAATCTATTTGTCTGGAACTTAAATAAAAATAGAGGGAGATTTCAGGCTATCACCTCCCATTGTTTTGTTATGAATATTCCAGTTTTTGCTGTTCCTTCTGAAGTCCCATCTCCCAGAGACCTCAGGTTCATGACCAAGGCATCACCTGCAGCACTCACTGGCTGTGAGCTTTGTGTGGGGAGTTGGGAAGAAGCAGCTCTTCTCTTGGCAGGGAACTGACACAGCAGGATCTGAGGGGGCTCTCAGAGGCTTCCAGGTGCTGATATTTGGAAATCCAGCAGAAAATGGTTCCTTTTTAGTTAGGTGAGAACACTCCCCACTGAGAGCCTTGGATCCTCCTGGCTGCTTTTGAAGCAGCTTGTTTGGAGCTGCTGGTGGTGTAAATTGACTGCGGCATCAGGAGCTCCGCAGTGACTGCAAGGACTCTCTGCAGGCGAGCAAACAAAGCCAGGAAGGCACCTGGGAGCCTCACACCCCACCTCTCCCCTGCTTCTTGCACTCCCATGACACAGATGCCTGCATACGGCCGTGGGATGGTGGGGACGCACACCCCATGTGGGAGGGAAGAGCTGGGGTGGACCTGCACCCCACA